TTGATTATTACTAACACTTCCTCCAAAAATCGTCTCAAAAACTCCAATTTCTCGACTAGGACAGCTGACTTTTACACACAAACCCCCTTTTCTTTTCAGCTGTCGCCCGGTTTTTTTTTTCTTCGAAATAAATTTCAATCTAAAAAAACCATTAGCAATAAAAGAAGATTGGTTTCATTTCCTCTCGAAATTTTGTCTCACGATGTCTGGTCTTCCAGCGTGAGCAGCTTCATCATATAGCTTCAAAAATTGACGAAAACTTGGAGGCATCAAGGATTAAATAGACTTTTTTCATAATAACACCTTCGGTTCTTCGAAGATTAGAAATTGACGAAAAAAACAAAAAAATAGCAATTTAAGGCAATTTATTTCATCTACGTAATGAGCAATACAAGAAGCCTAATAACTTATTAGATCCTAACATGAGCAATAGAAGTTCCGTTCACATTGAGAGACTTCAAACTTTAAAAAAAAAGTCAAAAAATGAGGGTGCTTGAAAAGTTAGGAATTTTTGAATTAATTTGAACGTTTTCTTTTGAACACGGTTTTCTTCAACTTATCACGTCGCTTTGAGTGAATTAACGTCTGAGGTGTTTAAGATGAGCAACACTTAGTAGAAACTCCGCCTACTTTTTGAAGCTTGGTAAAAAAAGTCACTTTTTGAGGTGAAAGTAAGAAATTCGGGAAATTTTCAAAAATTTTATTTTTTCACTAATTTTTGAAGTGACTGATTAAGTGATTCACGAATTTTTCGATTTTTTGGCCGAGCTTCGAGCAGTTTATTGCTCATATTATAGGTCCCGCTTAAGCTAAGAGGTCAATTATCTTGTAAAAAGATCATTTCTAGTTTGATTTTCAAAATTTACCCTCTATCAACGAAAAAAAATCTTCATTCAAGATCAAAGATTCTTCTGCAAACCGCACTTTTTCCCAATTTTTTCCCTATCTCAGTTCAAGACCAATCTATTGTCACGGTGTGTCATTCATGAGGGATAACATTTTTATTTGGAAAACACGGCCGATCCCATGTTCGCCCTTATTATTGGCCGGAAATAATCGCCACGACCAGCCTCCCTCTATCGGGAGAGGAAAAAGACGGCTCCGCCTCCTTTACTTATTTCCTCCCATTTTCCGAGCTTTTTGTTGAAGCTCGCGGCCTTTCTCAAATATATGTACCTTTTTTTTGTTTTAGGAATTTTTCGAGGTTTTCTTTTTTTCGAGGTTTGTGTGAGACCAATTTTTTGAGGCCAAAACCCTTCTTACGTGTTTTCTTAATTCTTTTTTAAAACTACAGCCCTTATTAGAGACCAGGGAACTTGATACTCGTCTTCTAACCCGGATAGAACCCTAATGAAGTTAGAACTGATTTTATACCATTTTTGTCAGTTTTTGAAAGCGAGCCTCTTTTTCTGAACGGTGTGAGTTCCGTACTTGCGCACGTGTGATGAGATTTTATGATCCCTTCTGAACAGACTAAAAAATCATTTTTCTCAAAACTGAAGCGAAACTTTTTCGATTTTACAACCGTTTAGGTCGCCTAATCTTGTCTATTCATTCACTAATTTTTTTATTATCTGAAATTAGCTGTGAATGAACTACTTTTTAAAGACTCATTTTTTAATTTTTTTTATGTATGAAAAAGATACTATTTTTTTAAATGTCCACACCTCATTGGAAGTTGCTAGCCTTGCTAATTGTAACTTTTTCTTTCAAATTCTTATATATAGAAAAAAATCAGACATGAAGAAATCTCTAAAAAAACTTTAATAACCTCCATATATTTGATCTTTTGATACTATCCACTTCTACGGTATTATCCAAAATCGGTACAGATTTCGATGAGCTGTTCAAGAAATCTTCTCAAAAATTCCTATTTTTGAGGACTTTATTTGAATCAAGGTGTTGGAAAACATCCAAAGCCAAAGCTTAGAAGCGAGAACTTTGATGGAAAATAAGAAACTTGATTCCTAGGAGAACATGGATTTTTGTTCTTTTTGAACAAAGTTTTTTTCGTTTGGGAAATTCTTGAAGCTCTCCAGAAACTCGAAATCACAATTTTCCACCTTTTTGATATTTTTTGTATCATTTAAAGCTTGAAAAAAGCCAATTTACAGCTTTTTTCGACAGATTTTCATGTTTTAGCCTCTCAGAGTTAATTATTAGTTTGATAGCATTGTCTCTTGATTTATATGTTCCTTGTTGTCATATCTTTTTCAAATTCTCACAGGTGCAAATCTCCTTCCAAAAGCACTTCCGCTTTTTTGCAAAGATCAAAGCGGCCAATCTGTTCAAAATCGGATCCTCAGAGTTTATCAGCTAATATTTAAAATTCCTTGTAGTTTCTTTCAACCAAAAATATCCTTTCTACTATAATAATCCTGCTTTATGAGGCTTCTCGAAAAATGAGTCACAGATATTTTTCCTTATTCTTTATATTTCAGATACTAAAGGAAAAGCTTAACCTGAACGCTGTAGTTATAGAGCTTTTTTATTGTCTTTTTGAGCTTTGCGGTATTTATCATGAATGGAACGACCTATAATCTTCCGGTGAATCATTTCCGGTTCAAAAATCCAAGGGTTCCTAAAGATCAACTTCATGGGAGCCATATCTCCGTGTTTGAGAATGCCCTGGTCGCACTTGGAATGGCTCAAAGAGACTACCGCAAAGTGTACAGTCCTAATCTTTGACCTAGCGCGCAAGTCGTTTTAGGTCTGGCGCGTTTCAAAAAAATAAAGTTCAGTCTTGAGGATCCAACTCATCTTACTTGCGAAAAGGCGCACTTCTTTATTTGTAAACTTTTTCCAATTTTTAAAAATAGAGTTATTAAGCTTTTCTTGTTTAAAAATTTAACAAGTTCTCAGAATCAATCCGGTCTTTTACTCCGTAATTTACGTACTATGCTTTGATTTCCGCAATTTGAAACTTCGTGGTCGCACTTGGAATGGATCAGGGCGTCGCGGTCCCGTTTCGTATGAAAAAAAGAAACTTTTACGTTTTATGCCTTTGCGCGCAAGTCGTTTTGGGGTCGGGGTTACCTGAGCCAGTCATTTCAAGTGTGGTCATTAAAAAACTGTATGGGGCGTTTTTTTTAAAATATCTATCAACCAATTTTCAACACAATTCAGAAGCCAAAATTCCAGTTCCTTTTTCACAAGTCTTACGTATTATTCTAATTATATTTTTGCATACTTCTATTTCTACGTCGTATGTACTTCTAATAATATTGTTCATCCTTTTCTGACCTCTTCTTCCCTTGACATGAAAAGAAATAACCCACAATCTTCACATGATTCATTCCCTGTCCAAAAGTCATTAAAACCCCATCCAAAAGCTTCTTTTCTTCTTTTTTCTTCTTGCAAAATGTTCCAGACAACCTTTTTTGTTCATCACTATTTGCCAATTTTCGGGACATTTGAAAGGCTAAATTCTCACTTTTTGTTCTGTTTACTCTGGTCCTGATTGGCTCTCATTACCCACGTGTTTTACGACGCCTCGAGCGGTTAATTTTATGATCAGGGCCAGGCTTCTCAATTTGGGAGCTCTGCGAAGTGGAGGGTGGGGCTTTTTGTTGATTTTCATAGGGATTTACAGCTTTTCTTTTGGTTTAAAAGCGATGAGACTTGAAAATGGACAGTAGTATATTCACCGTTGGCTCGAGAAATCACTGAATGGAGGTTTTGACCCAAAAGCGAGTTAATTTTAATGAAAGAAGAAATTTTTTTATTCCAATCTAGAAAGTTAATGAAGTATGATAATCAATTTGTTTTCAAGAATAAAATATTGATGACGTGCACAGGAAAACGCTAAAAATTCCAGAAGAGCACGGAAAATAAAGATGAGAAGCAGAGGAAAAACAAAGTAATGGCCTCGTGACGATGTAAAAAAAATTCTGAATTTAAAATAATCGCTATTTTGCCAAAAATATCTTTCATGAACAGTTAATTAAAGTAATCCAATAAAAGAAAAATTAATGAAAAGTTTTCTCGAATTGTTTTTTGAAAAAAAAATTTTTTTCTTCGAAAGAACCGCGAAAAATCAATAATCCCAAAAAAATTCCTCAAATCCTAAAAAGAATACAACGAATATTTTCAAAGATTCATTTTTTTCATCTTCTGAATTTTGATCTATCAAACGAAGTGTCTTGCCCAACAGGAAAAACTATAAACACTCCAATTTTTAGTCTGAAAAGAACCGAATAATTAAATTTTATTTTAGAAAAAAAAAGTTCCTCCTCCTACGATCCAACTTCTAATTGGGCCAAAGTTTCTCTTCGAGAATTTCAATTAGGGGTTCAAATTTAGTTTCAACTTTGTGCCTCGCTTTATTGGGATCCGTCCAAAAATGTTCCTGGTCCTTTAAATTGTTATTTCTCAGGGAAATGCGTAGTTTCTAGGTTGACGCCACATTATCCTGACTCATGTGTCCTTCAAAACGAAGGCAATTTAGGTGAATTTGCTAGATTCTTGTTGGGATTTTGCGAGAATCAAATGTTCAGCGTGAGGAGGAAGCTTAGTGGATTTAATTTCGAAACAAATTTTTCTCAAAGGGATTTTTTTTCCCAAAAAAATGGCTAGAAATGAAAATTTCTTACTCAATCTACATGAATCTCAAAATTTTTGGGTTTCGAAAAAAGGTTTCAAAAAAAAACTCCATCAGGCCTTCAAAATTTTTTCTCTATTAGGCAAAATCCGAATTTTTCAAGATCAAATATCAACCTATCAACTGATTTTTCAAGACTTTCATCAACAATCATTCCCTTTTCCAGCCTAAACAATCTTTTTCCGCCCATTTCTTCGAATTTCGACATTTTTCCAACCTGTCTGAGTGCGTCATCCCACTCCTCATTTCCTCTGGAAAAAATTTATTCGTTTCATTTTTTCCCCCGCCGTCACCATCATCATTATTGTTATTATGTTCAAAAATTGGCTTTATTCAGAAGGAAAATAAGCGAAAAAACGACCATTTTTGTTTTTTGGTTCGGCATTTTTTGTGTTGGGGAATGAAGCACGAAATGGCTGAAATCGAGCGTTTCGCTCGGAGTTACTGCACGATGGGATTCGTTGGTCCGAACGTGACACGAATTTCCAAGGAGATCCAGGAGAAGGTCTACTGTTCCAACGCCCTCGAGAAGGACAGCTTGTGGGTCTTTTTTTTCAGACTAGAGAACAATCTATGTCATTTTTTGATAGCATTCATTCGAAAATGAAAAGTTTCATGCTTGAAAAAGGATCAAAAATCGCATTTTTCGTAGGAAAACCTCAAAAATCTCTTCCTAGACGACTTTTCATTTAAAAATTCTGTTCAAGACTTTGCATGAGTTTTTGAGGGCGAAAAAATTTTCTTGAATTGAAAAAACATTAGAAACGGCAATTCTTTTCGATACCTTTTTTGAAACTTTGCTATGCTCCTTTAAATAACCCATTAGGATTTTCAGAAAATTAAAATTTAAAGTAGATGTTTTTAAAACAAAAAAATTTGAACATAAATATTTGCGAGAAAGCTTGAAAAAGGTTTATTTTACAATCAACTAATAACTTATTTCCTTTTTAATAATTATTTCTCTTTTTAGAAAAATATCAATTATCAACATTTTTTTGTTCATTATTTTCACTTTTTTTCGCAATTTCGAATCCAAACCAAAAATACAAACCAGTCTCTCCTGAAATCCCGAGAATATTCTAAAAATCGAAAGAGCTTTCCCGAAAGAGCTGCACTTTTTATTTTTTTCGCCTCAAATTTGCCGCACGAAATTGTTTTTTGTTATTCTAGGATGAAGCTGAGAATATAAAAAAAGCGTGGGAACTCAAAAAAATCTGAAACCAAAAAAAATTTTGAGAAAATCAGAATTGAATATTTAATGATTGGTCGCCATGAATCATTTTGTGCATATCAAAAAAATAGAAACTTTTGTATTCCTTTTTTTGTTCAAAAAAATTGTATCTTGGCGTTTGCTTCGATCAAAAAACTGGGGTTTCAGAGTTGCCAAGAGCTTTAAAAGAAAAAAAAATGAAAGCTGAACTCTAAATTCGCTAGAAAAGGCTGAGTTCAAGTGAGAAAATGTATTTACTCCAAAGGAATCAAAATACGACATCAATTTGATGTTATCAAAGAATCTAACGAATGAAATAATGTTTTAAAAATCAATTGAAACGTAGCTTGAACTGTTTCAAAAATTTTTTTACAATTTTTAAACGAAAAAAAGGGGCTTTTTTTCAACCAAAAATTTCGAGATTTTAATGCAAAGTAGTCTATTTGAATTTCATGATTGAAAATTTTTTTCCTAAAAGGTTTTGGTTTTCGTTATCAATAAAGGTTTGGGAAATATTTTTAAGCAGGAATAACACTTTTTCAGAGTTTTATTCCCTTTTAATAATGGAACAATGATTAAGGAATAATATTTGTCAATGGTTCCAGTGTATTTTTCGACAAAGTTTTCACAAAAATTATCATTTTCAGGGAAATCCAAGTGTTCGTGACCTGTATGTTCGTTTTTCTGATGGCTTTCGCCATCACCGGAAACTCGGTGGTCATGTGGATTATTTACAAACATAAGGTGAGCTTTATTCACGATAAATTCAGAAATTATGACAGAAATCAAAGTTAGAGGAGGAAAAGAAGTCGTCAAATTCTTATTTTTTTAAATTTTTAAAAAGCTATTCGAAAACTAGAGAGCATTGGTAAACATAAGCGTGTTTAGAGAATAAAAAAAACCAACACTCTCTGATTTTTGAACTTTGTCTACCCAGGAACGCCAGAGTGGTCCCTAGAGGGGTTTGGAAAAAAAGGAGTCCGTACAAGAACCAAACAATGCGGTTGAAAGAGGGGTTAAAATTGAGTGGTCCCTATAGAGTTCGAGGATCTGGTCCCAAGGCCTCTCAAGCTTAAGTGGTCGCTTTAGGGATTCTTCAATTTTTCCAGATTTCACATTTTTTTTCAAAACAAAATGAACGACTAGCCTGCCCTCTATAGAGACTCCTAACATAAACCCCTATAGGGGCCACTTTCGCAAGCTTTAGATTCCCCTATATGGGCGGTAGGGTGGTCCCCAGAGGTAAGTCTTCAGGTTCCCTGAAGTTGCCCCTTTAGGGACCACTCTGGCGTTCCTAACGTGTAAGTACCTAACTTTCTAAGATTCAAACGTAGACTCGAAAAAAATGAACTTTTTAGACTACTATTCATCAATGAAAGCGTTCCGATTCTTGAAAATATTCTGAAATCTACGAAAAATATCAAACTTTAAGAAAAACTATCGACCAAAAATAATGTTTTTTTGAAGGTGATGCACCACGGATTCAATTATTTTCTGTTCAACATGGCGTTCGCCGACCTTCTAATTGCTTCATTTAATGTTGGAACTTCGTGGACGTATAATTTGTATTACGATTGGTGGTTGGTTTTTTTCAGTATTTTTTTCAAAAAATAAATTAACCAGAAAAAAAGACACAAGAAAAATTATATTTTTTTCTTTCTTCAGTCGAAGTTCCTGCTTCTTGAGATCACTAAAATGAGTAACAAAATTTTCATGAAAAAAAGGTTTTCAACTTTGATTTTTCTTCTAATTTTTTTGTTATTGCCGTAAAAAAATTACCGAGAAAAATAACTTTAAAAAACAAATTTGCCGATGGTTCTTTTTCAATCCAGGTTTTTCCAGTAAAAAAAGCGTTATTCATAAAAAAATGTAAAAAAATCTCATTTCAATGGCTAAACTCATCATTTTCTCCCTAATCTCACTGAAATTCTCCTTCCTGATTTTATCAATAATAAAAAGGGAATTCTCCATCCTTTTCTGTGGATAAATGTACAATTTTTTAGGTTCGGAGACCTTTGTATCCTAACTTCATACGTTGGAGTGGCGCCAACTACCGTCTCGGTATTCTCAATGATGGCTCTCAGTTGGGATCGGTAAAATTTCAACTTTTTTTTTCTTGGAAAAATTTCGGAAAGAACGAGAACCAAAAGAGTATGCGGAAAAAAAATCAAAGAAAAAAACCGGAGTTTTTAGGTTTTTTTGCATGAAGTTAGGGGTCATTGATGATCAAAATTTATTCCAAAAAATGAAGAATAAATCGAAAAAAATTAAAAAAAGTATCTGAGAAAAAAACCGTGAATACGATTTTATTAGGCCAGGTTGGGATCGATAGAAATGAACTTTTTTCCTAAAAAAATATGTATAATAACTCGGAAACAATGAAATTCGTAAAAAAACCAAAAAAATACTGAATTTTTTTGCAGATTATATAACTGAAAAATCTCTTATTCAGCTTTTTTTCCATAGAAAACTATTCAAGGTAAAATTAAATTGAAAGTAATATCACTATAACTCTCGCTAAATTTTTTTTCCTTTTCAAGCTGAATGGAAGCAAATTGGGTAAATACCAGCAAAATAATAATTCTCCTAAAGTTATTTATAACTTTTTTTTTCTCGTATTCCTCGCTTTTATTCTTTTCGCTTTGCTGACATATCAGGAATTAAACCTTGAAAAGATAAATTCATAAAATATATCGTTCTGAAAACAGAAAAATGATTTAGGAACGATTTTCTTTTCAATCAATTCGATTTTCAGGTACCAAGCGGTGGTAAATCCTCTCCGAAAAAGGCCATTATCCAGACGTCGCTCCCTTTATAACTATTTCGATCATTTGGTTCATTTCAACCATCACAGCGATGCCGTCAGCTGTCAATGCTAAGGTTTCGAATTATAAAAAAATTAAAAAAACCCACATTTTTCTTGTTACGAATGTCACGAGAAAAAGTGAATTTTGAATATTTAAAAAAACTGGCTCTTCCTTAGTATTTCCAAGCTTGAATTTAAAAAAAAACCTAAATTTGCTTGAAAAACTAGTTGCTTGGAAATTATCGATATCTAACTTATAATCAAGACAAATCAATTTTCAACGTTTTACTTTCAAGAAAACATCTAGAAATACAGCAAAAGCCCATTTTTTTATTGAAAAAATCACTCTGAAAGTAGAATAACTACATTTCCCTCTAGAAGTTTCTTCCTGTAGATATTAGAGCTTGTGAGAATTTTTCATGCCCTAGCGAAATTTTTTTCTTTCTTATAACAAAATTTCCAGGTAAATGAAGTGTTCTCTTTCGATGTGAACACTTCAAAACTGACTCCGAGGTCATTTTGTGAGTCTGCCGTCAGTGGAGGGTTCGTGTTTTCTTGTAAAGTGTGAAGGGAAGAAAATTGATACCAGGAGTTCTTCGAATTTTGAATAAAATTGTCATTCCAGTTCAATTTTCAACAGAACCATTTTATGATGGTATTAAAAAAACCACCATCTAATGGTAAGAATGAAGAAAGACTTTGAAAAAGGCCCAATGTATACCTACTTTTAAAAGACTGCGAAAAAAAACGTTTCCAATCTTTCAGCTTAAAAAATGATTATTTGAGCATATAGCCCTTTTTGGAGATATTCAATACATTTTTTCAAACTCATCGCTCAAAGGTAGCTTTTTTGCAATCGTCTAACCTCTCTGAGTCTCTTTTTCACTCGTTGACAAGGAAAGAGAAAAAAGAAAACAGCCAAATTAGAGATAAGAGAGTGAGAGACAGGTCAGAGAGTTTACGCGAAATGAGAAGGAGGAATTAAGAAAAATTTAGTTTTCCTAAAATTTTAAATAGTTTCTGTTGATTAAAACAACCATTTTAGATACGACCACATGCTATTTTTTATCCAATTCGCCGTTCCTCTACTTGTTCTGTCGTTCACTTTTGCTCGGATCGCCTTCGCCTTCAGAATCACCGATGAAGTCACTGATAACAGTTCAAAGGGCACCAGTCATACGAGGGCCAAGAGCAAAGTGAGTGAACTAAATATGGGTTGGAAAAAATTTTTTGAAGGCAGAAACTAGAAAAATTAAGAGAAAAATGAGCTGAATATCAGAAAAATCGAATTCAGCAGAGTACTGGAATTTAATTTTTATCTTGTTCTGACAGTTGAACTTGAACTAACTGCTGAGTTATCAAGAAAACTTTGAAAGATTGAAAAAAAAAACTGAAAAATGGTTCATGAGAAAAAAATATTCATGAACTTTTGAAATTTTCAATATCAGCCTGATTTCTGTGTCTAAACCTATACTTCCAAGTACTATCAACTCAAAAAATCAATTATTGAATATTTAAAGTTCAAAAGCATCAAAAAGATTGTGTTGATAATTCTCGAATTGGATTTCAAACGTGATTGAAACGGTAATTCATGAAGTGAAAAATAATAATGTCTAAACCCCGAAAAAAGAAATAAAAAGTTATTAAATTTTTTTATAAATGACTTTTTGAACTGATCTGCATTTCCGTTCGCATAATGGTCCAATTTTCGTTAGATTTTTAGAATTTAACTCGGAAAAATTTTTTAAATCACAGAATTCCGGTTGAAAAACTGAAAAAAAGTCGATTTTCTCGATGATACATGAAATTCATCCAACTTTGGTGAGGTTTAAAATTAATCAAAGCAAAAATCGAGATTCATTAAATTATTTTATCATTGAATAAATATTTCAGGCCGTCAAAATGCTGGCTCTAATGGTTCTGACGTTCATGTTCTGCTGGCTGCCGTACAACTTGTACCACACTTTTTTCAATGTTCGTTTTTTTCCCAAAAAAAGAAGGAGGAAGAAAATGTTTCAGAACTGGTTCTCGGTTCAAAACTCGAAGTATATCTACTTGGGCATCTACTGGATCGCCATGAGCAGCTCCGCCTACAATCCGATCATCTACTGTTTTGCCAATGAGAGGTTAGTCAATAAATAAGTTTTATTAATTGTACAATAAGTCGATTTTTTTCTGACTGGGGGGCATTTTTGGTTAATTTTGAATTTTTGAAGAAAATTTTGAGCTGAGCCATTTTGAAATCGTTATTCATATCAACAAAAAGAAAGTCTAAATGGTGACTTTCTAATTTTTTTTCGGTTTTTCGAGATTTTAATAACGGTCAGAAATCGAGAAAGATAACAGAACTTTGGAGAGTCAGAGACAATTTCGATTTCGTCAAAATTACTTTGAAAACGACCTTACTTTCATGTTGTGAAGGACATTGACAAAACTACTGTTTGCAGGTTCCGGATCGGTTTCCGCTACGTGTTCCGATGGCTGCCCTTGGTTCAATGCAAACGCGAACAGTACGAATACTCGCAATTGTTTCCGGAGAAGCTGCGCAGCATGGCCATTTCGATGCAGAAGGGCCGCGGAAACAGCGCCAAGGAGTTCGAGAAGAAGATCAGTTGTCGCGATTATTCGACTGCCGGTAAGGAAGTTTCAGGTCACCAAAAAAAAATCCAAAATCTATTTTTCTAGAGTGAATACCTTATTTCTACCGTTTCCTGAAAAATCTTTCGCAACCTTCACATAATTTTCCTGAAGCTTCATTGATTTTAACGCTTAACGCTCTCAAAAAGTCTTAGCGCGATTTTTTTTTTAAAACTCACAAAAAATATTTGTATATTGGCAAAGTATATAGAAAACATTGGACCCAAACATTCAGAAAAAAATAAAAATTTTTTTATCCTAAACTTTTTGCTAGAATTTTTTTAGAGCTACATAAAAATATACATAAAAAAACTTCTGCGCCCTAAAAATCATAAATTCGAACTTGAAATATCAAAAAAATAGAAAAATTATACCTCGACAGCGGCGTAATATACAAGTATTCAAGTCGTGACAATTAACCGTTTCAAGACTTTAATAAATATGTTCAGTCGAGTTCAATTAATATTGTTAATCTTTCAAAAAGAAATACGAAGTTAAAAAAAGGACACCTGGTCATAAAAATGTCTGAAGCTTGCGACGTAAATCGGCCTTTAAAATTTGAAAAAATTTTTAAGTTATAATCTCTCTTGAACCCTAAAATTATAGTGAAGTTTCAAAAATCGGTTAGAAAAAGTCATAAATTTTTACAGAGTGAACTAATTTGAACTTCTTTGAAATCCTATGTGAGAAACTAAAAAAGACCTAAATATTGAAATAAGGGTCTCAAAACGCGTGGCTTACATATCATTAAAAAAAGATAAAAACTTCAAATAAATCAAGTTCATATTTATTATTCCAGGATTCCCGTATCAACCAGCCCCGGATATCGTCCAATGCGTTCTATCGAGCGAGAAGAAAAAACCTTCGAAAATTGAACTCCTAAGTCATCACGACGAGGAAATGAATTGATATGTTCCTTATTAATTTCCCATTTTCCCTGAACCTCTTTCTGAATTCCAGTATTTTAATACAGTTATCCATTATCCTTCTATATTTTCACACATAAACTTTGAAAAATCAGCCCAAGTCTGTCGGGTAATCTACGGTAATCAGTGACGTGTTTCTCATTTCATGATCAAATTCAACCTACTTTTTTTGCTTTGAATATTAGTTTTTTGTACAGTTTAATAAATTTTTTTCGATCAATATTGAAAAACAAGAAAAAAATGAATAAATAAAGGGAACTGACTAGTGGGATGTCTTCAACAACGACGAGAATGTAACAGGAATTAGAAACTTAGGGAATAAAAAAAGGAAAAATCAAAAAGGATTTTAAAAAGAAACTTAGGAAACAAAAAAAGGAAAAACAAAAAAAGGATTTTAAAGAAAGGTTAAAAAGGAATTTTTCCAGTGCAGTTGCGAGCAACCGCGCTGCACGACCACTCAAGGGGTAAAACCAAGGGACGAGGAAGCGCCCTCGTCGCGGCGGTCAAAACTAATCGTTTTTTTGTTGATCTTCTTTTTTTAAATTTTTTTGTTTCTTCGTTAAAAAAAGAGCGGGAAACGAATGGAAAGGTTTTTTTAGGGAAGAGTCTCCTGAGTCGCAACTTTTGTTTGGTTGTTTGACGGGCAAACTCGGTTAATGTAGAGGTTTTGGTTGAGCTGAGCTCCCTTGGTTTCCCGCTCTCCCTTGTTATTCCACAGGATCTCGTTTTCGTTCAATTTGAACACTAGGGTTTACTCATCTGTTTTTGGATTGAGATTTTGGATTTAGTTTTCATTGGAATTTACCCATGTTGGCCGGGGACAATTTCTTTCTTAGATGGAAGGCGCCCCCAGGGTTAGTTCTAGTCGTTAGCTAATTAGCACTCAGGATATCAGGACTAGGAATCTTTTGAAAGGTAGTCACAATCCAGGCTAGGTTAAGCTAGGGATCTCTTCGACAACTAGGAGCACGTGTTTTTCCCATTTTTTTTGTGTATGGGTTTTTTGTACATGTGTGATTGGTGCCTCCCCTCCTAACTGTATTTCCGGTATTTTCGTGTAATAACCAGGTCATAAAGATTTTGTATTTGAAGCGTTTGTTTGATGATGATGAACCAAATTTATCTGGGATCAACGCCATCAACCCCGGAGTTGTCTCGCTTGGAATCTGTCCTTTTAGGGGAGACTCCGGGGCCAGTCGGCGACATGGGGGCCGAACCAACATCATCATAACGCATCAAAAATCTTTATTGTTTCTATAATTCCTCGGATACAATTTAATTATCGGATTACTATGCACTCGCATTCGGAAATGTTCGCGTTAATTGAACTTGACAGGAAAAAGGTTTAATTACCCAAGTTTGAGGTGTCCAAGCGTAACCGGGCAAACGGAAAGCTATGGCGTCGCCAATCCAGTCATCGGATGATGAGTTGTCGGTACCGACGGAGGACGTCAGAGAAGAAGAAGGCTCAGACGCAGGACAGGAAAAGGATCCACTGGAGGTAGTTACCAAGGATTTTTCGAAATTTTTCAATAATATCATTGATTTGAAATACAAGGACCTTGCTAGGAAAAATAAGCTGAAACTGGAATTCCTAGAAAAGCTGGAAAAGGTGCTAGAAAAAAGGGAACAGGAGATGTTACAGGCCCAAGGACCTGAGGCAGAGGATCAGGAAGCTAGATCAAGGAAGGGCTCGACTTCCACGGAGTCGTCTGCTGGTAGGCATAGGCTAGCTAGTGTTGGAAGTAGTAAGAATCCGCAGGAAAGGGCAACAGGACCAGCCTTTTGTCGTCAGACAGCGAAGAAGAGCACAAGGAGAAATCGCACCGATTCGCCAAGGAGCGCAACGAATCCCCCGACAGGACGAGTCTCGAGACAGGAGGAAGTCTCAGGGTGAGCATCTTAATTTTTACGGTTGAAACTCCGATTTTGGCTTTAGACCAAGGAGATAGGAAATATAAGTCTGAGCAGGTTGCGCGCGAGGACTGTAGTGAGGACCCAGGAGTCCTGAAGATGCTTCTGCGCGCTATCAACGAACAAAAATAGGATTGCAGCGAACCAGGAACGTAGATCGTTGCTTAGAGATCCGAAAACCGTTCAATAGAGAGCAAGGAACCGCTAGAAATAGGACTTTTTCAAGAATTTGCGGATGAATTTTTGGAACCTTTATGGCCCAGCGGCACTTTCTGAAGACGAAAAAGATTGTTATTTTGGGGCCAGAAACTGAAAGGCGAGACAAAAAAACAGCTTTCAATTCTTTTGCCCGCAGGAATAAAAAGCGCAAGGACTAGCAGCTATTCTCACGGAACTTGCCGACCGTGAGGAAAAGAAGAGCAACTCTTTAGTCATTGATAGGCTAACTAAGGTCAGCAAACTTAGCTTTGTCAGAGTAGCCAATGTAGAGGAAGCATGCTTTTTGATTGAGGACCTTCTTCCAGCAGAAGGAATGACGGCTAGAGCCAAGGATTTAGAGAGGGCTGGATTCCTCTGTGTATTGCTAGCTAGCAAATGGTCGTCCACAGACATTTCGTTGTTGCGCAATGAGATGGACCGTGTCCAACCTGGTGAAGTTTTTGCTGCTATTCACCAGCTTGCACTCAGTATTGAGCGATCGAAAAACATGATCGATGTAGGAAGCCGGAGTTTTGGAGGGGTTGAACCTTTTGCAAAGCGTAGACCTTGGAGAAAGGAGCAGGAAAATTTTGCAAACCCCAACCGGCCTGGGCTAGAGGAAGAGCAGGAGCACCTTCCGGCTAGAAAGTGGACGAACCAAAGTGGAAACAAGTCGTTTAGTCATGGACATGATCAGGCAAACGCAGGTTTCAGAAATTTCTCGCGAGATAGAAATAGAAGATCCTTCCATGGTGACAGGAAAGGACCTAGTGGCCGCGCCCTGGCGGACACTACTTGTTTTGGATGCGGCGAAAAAGGTCACCTCAGGCCGAATTGTCCAAATAGACAGGGAAATACTTCCCAGAGAAAGGAGCAGGTATCCGGAGCCGCTTCTAGACATTGGGTCAGGCTCGTACAGGTGCAGGATGAGGACGTTCCGACGGCGCCGCGCGCTGCAGATTCTCCCCGCGAAATTTTGAGCATTCAAAACCAAACGTTCAGTGCGTTAGTTGACACAGGTGCACAAGTGTCGCTAGCTCCAGCTCATTTTTTTCGGAAGACCAAGCAGCGAGGGAATCGTTTTTTTGACAGCCCCGTACATTCAAAGCCTCATAAAACCTACCCAGTTAACCCTTTTTGAACGCTAGTAGTGAAGGAATGAACGTTGTTGGAGAAAACAGTTCTCAAAGTTCATCTCCCCAGGTTTAAGCGTTGTGTTAAAGTACCTTTTATACTAGTCCAGGACTTGAAGGAATTTATTCTCGGAATGAACCTAGTTGAAGCTTGTAGAGACTTCTTGGACATTGACCTAGTGAAAAACGGCGAACCCATTATTGACTATTAGGGAAGGATTAGTCGTGCCGGCAGGAACTGAAGTTTCCATGACCATAGGTAATGTTCCAAAAAGGAGAAGCTGTGCTTTGGGGAAATAGACCTGAAGTACCAGACCAAATTGTTGAAGGCTCTGGTGAAGGAAAAAGCCGTAGTTAGGATAGTTAACAGGACTAAAACTGACCTCCAATTACCGGCAGATACCCCTGATTGGACTAGTAGAGGTAGTAACTTGTTCAAAAAAATGCATCTTTTGCCGGAGCAATTTAGGATGCACTTTGAAGGAAGATGGAATGACGAAAACCCGTCAGAAATCATCTCAGTTTTGGAACAAACTAGTGGAAAAAAACCTTTGTCGGAAAAAGGTGAAAAAGTTAGTTTCCAAGTTTACTGATGTTTTTTTGTGCAGGACGACAAGGACTTGACGCAGACGCCAGTTTTTTTACTCATGATATCGAGCTTTTTAGATGATAGGCCGATTAGACAAAAAGACTAGGCATATCCCTTTCGGACTAAGGAATGAATTCAGGAAAACCTTAGACGAAATGTTGAGTAAAGGAGTAGCAGAACCAAGTAGTTCGCCTTACGCGTCTCCAGTTGTCCTAGTCAAGAAAAAGGATGGTACTATTAGGGTCTGTATAGATTATAGGGAAATCAACAAGGTTATCAAACAGGACTCGTACCCCCTACCTAAAAATGGACTCTATAGTGCAGGACTTAGGCGGAAATAGGTTTTTCTCGACTTTGGATCTTTTAGCCGGCTATTGGCAGATCCCACTCACTGAGAAAGCCAAGGAAGTCACGGCTTTTACGACCTCAGAAGGTCTTTTTCAATTTACGGTCCTCCCGTTCGGTCTAGCCACTTCGCCACCAACTTTTCAGCGAATGATGGAAATAGTGCTTAAAGATCTGATCAGGGACGGAGGTGTCCATTGTTACATTGACGACGTTTTGGTTGCCTCAAAGACGGAAGAAGAACACCTAGAACTTCTAGAGAAAGTCTTGGACGCTTTTAGAAGAGCAGGACTGAGCCTTAAAGCTAGTAAATGTAAAATAATGCAACAACAGGTGAAATTCCTAGGCCAAATCATTGACAGCAATGGCGTAAGTACGGACCCAGAAAAGATCGCAGCCGTAAAAGACTTCCCTCAGCCTAGTAAGCGCGACGAATTACGCTCGTTTTTAGGACTTTGCTCTTTTTATAGAAAGTTCATCTTCAAGTTCGGAACTATATGCAAACCGTTGTATGAATTGATAAGCGAGAAAGTAAAATTTGAATGGACTACGGAAACGTTAGCCGCTTTCGACCATATCAAGCAGGAGTTAATTAAAGCACCAGTTCTTGCGCAACCGGACATAGAAGGAGCAATCAACGGATCTAAACCTTTTATCATCTACACAGACGCTAGTAGGAAAGGTATAGGAGCAGTTCTGTGCCAAAAAGGTATTGATGAGTTCTTGCACCCGATTTTCTTTTCTTCAAAAGGACTTTCGGCGGCAGAAGTTAGGTACGGAATAACTGAACTGGAGGCGTTAGGAGTCATCCACGCGGTTAGAAAGTTCCATCAGTTCATTTACGGAATAGGAGCCACTGTGAGGACTGACCATCAACCTTTTGTTATGTTTCTTTAGAGAGGTGAACTCAGTCCCAAAGTCATGCGCTGGGCGCGATGTGCAGTTATCAAATCAACCTAGAATACGTGAAAAGGCAAAGCTAACGTAGTCGCTGGACGCACTATCGCGAGGCCCAACGCAGATACTGGAAATTGATCCGAACGATCAGGACTGTGTAGTAGCCGCTGTGAAACTTGAACTCGAGCAGGACTGAGGACGAGCAATGGTTAGCAGAGCTCAGAAGACCAAAGATTGGACCGAAGCCGTAGCAGCCGTAGAACAAGCTAATGACAGTTTTTCTCTTAAGTTACCAGGAATAGAGAAAGACTTCGTACAATCAAATCACTCGAGGTTCAAAAGGCATGAGCTTTGGATAGTAAGGACTAGGTAAAATGGACTTCTCATGAGTACCTAAGTCAAAGAAGAGAAATCTTCCGGCAGATAGCTCAGGCCCGTTTGGCGTGCACGTCAGATCCATGGGAGAAAACTCCCTCCGCAGTTCATAGAAAAAGGGAAGTTTACAATTAGGATAGAAACATGGCTAAGGACCTTAAGGGACGACTCGCTTGCCAAGGTTGCTTCTTAGCCAATCCGCACCTAAAATTGGCGCGCCTCCGCTGAAAGCTATAGAGGCAAAATTAAGCCGCTACAACTGGCAGGAGTGGATAGTGCCGATGCCAGGACCAGTCATAACGGAAACAGGTACATTTGCTAGTCATAGACGCTTGCTTTTCAAAATGGGTAGCAGCCTATCCAGCAGCGGACAAGTCAGCAAATACCGTAGCTAAACTAATAGTAGGACGCTGGATAGGTGAAGCAGGACTCTGTCCAACATTTTTGCATTCGGATCGTGGGCGAGATCTGAAAATAAACTCTTAGACGAAAGTTTGTAATAAAATCCTGAGTCCAAGATCTCATAACACAAAGGTTATAATCCACGCTGCCGAAAATGGTCTCTGGAACCCAGAGCCATAGGCACGATTCGTAGGGCGCATCAAAGAGACAGAGCAGACCCGGCTTCAGTGGGACGTAGATTTTGCCGTTAGTAGTTCAGGGCGTACAACGCAACTCCTCACGAATCCACTGGCGAATCTCCATTCTATTTACTTCATGGCTTTGATATAGGACTACCTATGGAGACAAAATGGGATAAAAGCCCAGTTTGGATAACGGAAAATCTAGAGGATTATAGGTCTACTGTGACTTTAGCAGTGCAGCAGGCTCGCCAACTAGCGCTAGAACGTCTAGAAGTTGAAAGGAAAAAGATGAAAAAGTTCTACGACGCTAAATTTAGGGTAGAGGACAAGAAATACCCAAAAATAGGTGACCGCGTTTATGTTAAGCTGCCTGCGGAAGGAAGGCAATCAGCGCATAGGAAGCTACTTCCAGATGTAGGAGGACCGTACAGAGTTATTGACGCGAGCCAAAACTCAGTTACGTGCACTAGGATAGGATCTAACGCGGAACCGCTAACAATTCCTATGGATGGAGTAATCATTGTACCTAAAGAATTGGATGATACCCCGACAGTAGTTAAGACTAAAAGAGCGCCGAAAGCCGCTTTTAGGGTATAAACTTGAGAACTAGGAAAAAGGAACAAAAAAATGTGTTAACCAGGATGAAGATTTGTGTATTCACGGATTAGTTACAGGAAAACGGTCATCAGGACAGTTGGGAAAGGCGTGTCACCGGAATTCGTGCTCAGCGTTGTCAAACTCCCGCCCAGTCTAGGATCGCCACAAAACAGGACCTCGAGGCAAACTCCGGCACAAAAAGGCGCATCGACATCGATAACCCTTGCCCAAATGCTGGAACCGGAGTGGGAGTGCGCGCCGGTGACGAACATCAGGGCAGGACAAGTACTCCTACATAAGATCTCCTGCGGAGGACACGCGCTCAGCGACTTCCTAGAGATAGGGCACGATCTGCCAAAAGTCCCAATAAGATCGCCATGGAAACTGGCACAGATGTACGAAATCTTTGTACAAGGTCGCCAGCTAGCTCAAGCAGTGGACATCATCACGACGAATAGACTTCTACTGGTGGAGCCGAGCATTTTAAGATTAGTACACGCGTACAGAGCTTTTGCTTCCCAGTGCCCGGCATTCGGCGAACTCTTGACAGCCCAAACGATAACGACGGCATCTCTGGCAGCAAGGACGGAGACTATGAAAATAGTCATAGAAGAAGTGTATCGCCAGGGTCCCACAACAACGAAGCGACAGGTACTTTCGAGAGATGTCGATATGTCAGGACGACAAGTACTCTTTCTACCGAGTAATTATGGATCGTCTCACAAATTCGCACTGGACCGATGGCAATGGAGAAGAATAAAAAGAACTGGCGAGGCTGCCGCGTTGTTGAAGAAGATGCGGCTGGAAGACAAGGTGCCGATTAGAGCGCTCATCGCAGTCGTGAGTCCTGAATGGGATCTCGGCGAAACCGACTACTTCGTCTCCGAACTAAGAGAGCTAGCAGAAACAGGAGCGGATGTGGCCGTGGTCGCAGGGGGAAGCAGAGTGCACTGGTCGTTGGAGCTACTTGGGAGCGGTTCGCAAGGCTCTACAAGTCAAGGATAGAAGAGGGCTGATCGTGACATCTTTTCCGACGTCGGAGAATGCGGCCGAAGAGCAGAAGTTGGGGCCCCACATGGTTTTTTTTGGACTGGCACCTCAACAACCGGCTCGGGATCAAGCGAGGTCAGCTCAGGAGATCGAAGGTTTCTTCAAGAAACTAGCCTGTTTCTGCGACGAAAACGCGTTCCCGCGGCTCTCCATTTCGCTCCACAGGTAAAAACTCAACCTTTGAATAGGAAAGGATTAGGTTCTACTGAGTTTTTCTTTTGGATTAGTAAAGCGCAGGAATAATTTTTGGACTGTCGGTCGGGACGGCCTTTTCCTGGGCGGCCGGCATGTAACAGGAATTAGAAACTTAGGGAATAAAAAAAGGAAAAATCAAAAAGGATTTTAAAAAGAAACTTAGGAAACAAAAAAAGGAAAAACAAAAAAAGGATTTTTAAAGAAAGGTTAAAAAGGAATTTTTCCAGTGCAGTTGCGAGCAAACCGCGCTGCACGACCACTCAAGGGGTAAAACCAAGGGACGAGGAAGCGCCCTCGTCGCGGCGGTCAAAACTAATCGTTTTTTTGTTGATCTTCTTTTTTTAAATTTTTTTGTTTCTTCGTTAAAAAAAGAGCGGGAAACGAATGGAAAGGTTTTTTTAGGGAAGAGTCTCCTCAGTCGCAACTTTTGTTTGGTTGTTTGACGGGCAAACTCGGTTAATGTAGAGGTTTTGCTGAGCTGAGCTCCCTTGGTTTCCCTGCTCTCCCTTGTTATTCCACAGGATCTCGTTTTTCGTTCAATTTGAACACTAGGGTTTACTCATCTGTTTTTTTGGATTGAGATTTTGGATTTAGTTTTCATTGAATTTACCCATGTTGGCTGGGGACAATTTCTTTCTTAGATGGAAGGCGCCCCCCAGGGTTAGTTCTAGTCGTTAGCTAATTAGCACTCAGGATATCAGGACTAGGAATCTTTTGAAAGGTAGTCACAATCCAGGCTAGGTTAAGCTTAGGGATCTCTTCGACAACTAGGAGCACGTGTTTTTTTCCCATTTTTGTGTATGGGTTTTTTTGTACATGTGTGATTGGTGCCTCCCTCCTAACTGTATTTCCGGTATTTTCGTGTAATAACCAGGTCATAAAGATTTTGTATTTGAAGCGTTTGTTTGATGATGATGAACCAAATTTATCTGGGGATCAACGCCATCAACCCCGGAGTTGTCTCGCTTGGAATCTGTCCTTTTAGGGGAGACTC